ATACTTTTATTATACTTTTATTCAGATTCCACCATTAAAAGTGATTGATGATGACGATGCTAGTAAGTATTATGCTGGTTTGCTAGTACATATCACTATAAATTCATATTGTTTAATGATACTTATTGATAGAGCAAACAATTCAAAGAGTCAAATCAACTACTAATCACCCCTCCACAGAGATCAGTGAGCGCAGCAATGATCAACATAAAGGTATAAGCACTTACTGTCATTAGTTTCATGTTATTTATTTATTTATAGTATTAAATATTAAGAATCTAGTAGATATCATACGAGCGTTAAAGAAGGATTCCTTTTCAACCAATAAATGGCGTAAACTTGGTCTCTACTTGGGTCTGATTTATGATGATCTAAATACTATTGAGGATAACCATCCACGAGATAATGAGCGATGTCTTCAAGAATGTTTAGCAAAATGGCTGAAGGGTGGCTTTGAAGCAACATGGGACAAACTAGCTATTGCAGTTGGTGAGGTAGAAGAGACATGAGTTGCTCAATTATAAGTGAGATTATAATTAGTAATAAACTGATTACTACTGATTAATAGGATCAAGAAAAGTGCTTTACAAATGATAGTAGTGTTAACATTAAAATGTTTTGCAATTTTTAGTCATTTTTATTCTTTTTTACTGTTAGTTGCATTACATTATTATTATGCATTAAAAGTTTATAATAATTGTTGACAACACATTTGCTCTTTTGGTTGTTTTGCTTCAAGTTATTAATGGATGCTATTTAGCACAATGCTAGGGGCGGGGCAAGACTAATTAGGAAGCAGTTCCTGTCACAAGTAGTCAGTGTATATTGATATTTCCTGAATAGAGTCCAAATATACTTCCATAAAAGGAAAGACATCTTGGAAATGTTGACAGAATCTTGTCTACAGTACAAACACTACACTAACTAACCTTTAACAAAGCACATATAATGATTCACTGCAGTAGTGGGTGGAAGTTCCATTTAAAAATATGTACATTACATTTACATGTATGTGTTCACAATATTCATATCTAGAGCTGAGATTAGTTCCACCCAATGGTAGATACTATTATGATATCAGAGTCACTATATGATTTTATGATGATGTCATTAATTAGTTATGGTAGCTACAGCATTAAAGTATTCCAATAATAGAATATCAACAGAATGAAGTACATGTACATGTACAGGTAATGGAACTGACTGTACACATAACTGCATGTACATGTATCTATGAAGCTTGTCTCTTCCTATCTATTTCTCAGTCTCTCTCTTATAAAAATTACTCTCCAGCTGTAGAATGACCTGATTGTGTATCATTGTCATTTACTACTAGTAATTTCTACTCCTCCATTCCACTGGATATCACTATGAGTGGATCTAACCTCTTGAGAAATGCAACAATTATAATAATAATAATAATAGTAATAATAATAATAATAATAAAAATAATAATAATAATAATAATAATAATAATAATAATGTTATTAAAGCAATAAGACAAGCAAACAACACGAGTAGTTCCAAGAAAGAGAGAGAGAGAGGAAGAATGATAAAGAGTATATTATAATCACAATATCAAGTCATAATTATTATTATTAATTATTATCA